GATAGAGGTGCCGTTAATGATAGTAACATTGTCCGTATTGGAATGCGAGAACATGAACTGCGACGACAGCGCATTCTCCTCCACAGTGGCTTCTCCGCCGCCGGGCCGGCCGGCATTCACGGCAACAAAACCAGTGGAGGGAGACTGGGCGCTGGCAGGGGTGCTACCATTCGGGTTCTGAGCATGGCCATTGGCATCGCGCCACGCAGGGCTGATGGAGCGATGTTGCTGCTGCTGTCGCTGCGAGTGGAGCGACATGTCGTTCTCCCGACGGGTGACGATTGCCGTCCGGCGGTTCTTCAGACGGTGATTCAGTTGTCGAGCGCGGGCAGACACTAGCAACGTTAATTAGTTTAGCTTGTATGAAGTATTTATGTCAGACATACCCTGGTCGGCCATCTGGATGATCTGCTGGAGGTTCTTCTCCAGAATCTCCAATGCGCCCAATTCCTTCTCCTCATCCTCAATGATCGGCTGCGGGGGGATCATCTTCTGGGGCATCCCCGAGGCGATCAACACAAAATCCTCCTCGCTGATCTCCACCCGACACTGCTTGGTGTAGAATTGACACACTCGCACCCCGTTGCGCGATTTTTCCAGGTTGAACTGCTCGGGCTTGTTCTTGGCAAACTCGACCACATCCAGCCAGGTCACGTTAGGGGAGTCCTTGCCATGCGACTTGAGCACGCGAGGCGGCCCATCGAACAAGCGCTCGAAGCGCTTGATCAGAATGGGCCCCAGCGGACAAGCGCCCAAGTTCCCGGCGATGCTTTCGTGACGATGTAAGACGCCGTCGTACTCGCCAATGAGATGCACAATGGCGGGCATGGTATCATCGACGGAGACGAGAGGAAGGTTATCAGGGTATTGGCGGGCGAGGTAGTTGATCTGCAGGTGATTCGAATGGGTTTTGGGAACCTTGGACGCGATAGGAGGGAAATCGCCGGAAGGTGAGCGCGGTCGTTTACTGGACGGCTCAGCCGTCGCGGTTCTGGACTCCATGGTGATGCCGGAGGTAGTAGGCGACCCAAGGAGGAAGGTGAGGTAGGGAAATCCGGGTGGATTGCGACAAAGCGAAGAGTCGCGGAAAATACGGGGCAGGGAGG